TAGGATAATGCCCCACGAAGCTAAATTCCCCATGCACATGATAGTCAGATATGGACCATACACATCGAAGCAGAAAAAGGTAAAGTAACTTCACAAATTTTGTCCAATAGCCATCAACATTGTCGTGGCCAACAAAAGCCCATCAATGAAAATTCCACAGAATAAAAACTAATTTTTCATCTGTTACACATAGTGTACCCTGTAAATTTAAAATTCTTATGTTATACTTGCAATAAAAAATACAGTTGTTCCAATATGGGCTATCCGGAGTTTTAATGAGGTTAAACGTTTTAGACTCGGTGCCAAAAGAAACCATAAGCTCTTTTCCAAACTTTTTATCTTTCTCCTTGCGAGTGTTCTATTCATTGGCCAAACTTTTTGTAAAAAAGATTCTATTTATTGGCCAGAACACCTTTTTTTTTTGAGTAAAAAGTAAAGATTTCATTCATACTGATTTTAACTTGCTGTATTTACATTCTCTATCATCTTTCTATTACATAAGCTTTCAATTGCTAGTCTATTGACATAACTCATCTATTATACTTTGTTCTATAGTTGTTTCCTTCTTTGCATAGCAAAATTTCACACGGATACATACTTCCTCTTTGATGCTGGTCACAAATTCTTCAACTGTCTTATTTTGGGTTTGAAACGATCTACAATTGTGTTCCTGCCAAATATGATAATACCTGCAACAATCACAGCAGCCAATAGCTTTTTTCAACTTTGTACGCTTCCAAATGTACCTCATTTCTATTTTCCATTTCCCATCTCTAATGGTAAAGGTCCTCGACCTATCAGCTATTTTAAACATTTACCATATTAAATTACTCCGGTAGTAGTATTATCGTAACATATTTGATGAAATCTTATGAATTATTTTCTTTCCATTCCCTGAAGTGAGTGGACAGTAAATTATTTCAAGAAAAATTGTAGACATTAAATCTACAGTAATTATATATAATATACAATTCTTCACCTGAAGTTGGAGAGTTAATGATGATCAATTTGAAGACATGTTCAATTTAGAAATGGTTGATTTCCTGAAGTATATGTGACGATCATGTAAGAATGATAGTGGTGATTCCAACAAATATACTATTAACCACCTGAAGTTGGAAAAATAGTGAAAATTACTACTATCGACCTGAAGTTGAAAAGTAGAGACGAAATAAAAGAAATATATTGCAAATACTATCGTTGTGGCATAGAAAATCATTGGGTTCACATGATTTGTATACCCACAATTATCTTATTGATATCTTCAATGTATTATTGAAAGTAGACGAATTCATTAGTCATGTCGACAATGAATAAACAAATCATAATTCGATATATGTTGAATTCTTTGTCAAACACCCTGAAGGTGTTGCAATCTTTTAGTCACTATAGTAATGATACTATTTAATTTGACCTTTTTATCTATATTTAGAAGAATAAAAACCTAAATTTGTTAATGGCAAAAGTAGGCATGAAACATAGTGCAACTCATGTTATCTCGTTGAATATTGTAGATTTTATTAATCACCTTGAAGGTGATGCTAGTAAATGATAAACACATCCAAAAGGAGTTTTCTATTATCACTTGCTTATGTGCAATAAGTTTTCATTTTGCATGTTCGATAAAGTAGTTCGTGTTAACATCTACTTTATTATATACTTTGATGTCTCTTTTGATTTTAAAAACTCTAAAAATGTTATTGCTGCATTGTTAAAATGAAATTAATTAAATGCTCTAGAAGAGCATATGGCATTGAATTCTTTTGTAGAATTATATGAAATGATCCGTAGAGTATAATTACTCCAGAGAGAGAAAATAAATAAATGCTCCTGAAGAGTAATATAATGAATTCATCATTGCCGCTGGAAGAGAAAATGTAAACAAACTTTGCTCATAAAAGAACAAGAAAACATTAGAAGGAGAAAGTGCATTGAGATGTATTATATTCTCTAAGGTATTAAGGAAGGAGATAAACTGCCCTACCAACTCAACTATTGTGAATTTAAAAATTCATCGTTGTTTCTAGCAGAGCAGCAATATACTTTGGTCTTAAAAGAGTCCATAAGATTATGTTAATAGAAAAATGGAATATAATGCAGTACAAGGTCTGGAAGACTTTGTTTTTCCAATTTGTATCTTGCATATATCACGAATATTGATGTTCACTAAATGTAAACCAAAAGTTTGCTAGACTGATGATTTTGAACCAGATCGATTGCACCATTTTGGTGCAATGATAATGTATAAAATATTAAAGAAGTCATAAGTTTATTGCTCATAGAACCAGAAGTCTCTACAAACACTAAATTATTTTATATTTCTTTGTTTGTGTGGTAAAACGATTAAAACACCAGTACTAATAAAAATTCATTGAATATCTCTGGTATATATGATTTTAAAAGTTAACATATGTGGGCTCACGTCATAGATTATTTGATATATTGTAATCACAACCTGAAGTTTGTAAAAATTATTTATGAAGATATTTTTATATGCTGCTCTCCATATAATTTTTTTCTCCATAAGGATTTATATTTTGATATTGTAGTAAATGTCTTATGGGATGAAAGTTGAGCACCAAGTGACTAACATATACAAGTAAAACGATTCAGTAGAATCGTTTATTAAATGTATTCAAGTAATTAAAACCATGGCTTAGGAGAAGTAAATACCTCGTATACAATCGATGATGTGTTGTAATGCAAAATGCATAAACCATATGCATAAGACAAATGGTTCATTATAAATATTCTCCCAAAGTTTGGTTTTTGGTCAGAAACGATACATATCCATCTTCAAATATTATATGTGTAGTTTATATTATAATTATTCCACCACAATGCACACAAAGATAGAGCCTCCATAAGAGGTTAGAAGTATATGTTGAATATTAAATCTCTAATTTTTGAAATTATTGATGTTGGACTAACTATTCGATGAACTAATCGTATTAGTTTGACGAGTTAGTTACTCTCAAAAGGGAGATTATTAACTACTCAGTTGGTTAATAGTCATTTTAGCAAGTTAGTTATCCCAATATCAGGGAAAGAAGTTAAAACAACCTATTTATAAATCAAATGGGCAATATAATTATCTCATGAAGATCCTCGATAATATGAACCTTAAGTTCAAGAGATAATCTTTAAAGCTAGATGTTTAACTCAAGTGGCTGAATTACATGCGAAAGACTGTCAAGTTCCAAATTTTAAATTATGTCCATGTAGGACTATGTACCACTATTATTGGATGTCCATTTGATGAGTGGTAAACCCATCGGCTCCAATGATAAGAGCCATCATAAAAGAAAATGTTTAATTGAGATGATAAACATGAGTGATCCAGAAGGATCTTTGAGATCAAATGGTTTTCCAGTATATGTAAAATTCCGGAAGAAGAGTAAAGGTTTTTGGAAGATTTAATGATTGTGAGATCTTATTACTAAAGCTAAAAAATGTAATCGATTGACATTAAAACGTCGGCATGAAGTTTGCATATACTACAACAGTTAGTGAAATGAATGAGGATGATGAAAGTCTGTTGTGAGTACGGACATTAAATTCATTGTCCATAATGGATAAAAAAGGGCGCAATACACACCTCAAGATGTGTACTTATAATTGAAATTGTTTGAAAAACTAGAATTTTGGCAAGTAATATACCGGCTAAAGTTAAGCCAAAACCCTAAAAAAATCATGATTTTCCCGAAGGAAGGAAGCTGCTTAAGTTAAGCCAAAACCCTAGAAAAGCCGTCGCCGCCGCCACTCTTTTGCGGCACAGCTGCTGTTGCCGCCACGACGCTTTCTGCCTAGCTACACTCGAATTGAAGGCTCGATCTGGGAAACACTCGCTGTCCGGAGGGTTGCTGCTGGTTGCCGTCACGCCGCACCGCACTACCGCTGCACTGCTGTGCGCATCTGGGTTGCCAATCGTTGCATCATGCATTGCTGGATTGCCGCTGCGGGTCGTTGGATTGTTGCCGCTGCACTCATGATAACTATCATCTGAACCGCGACGGTTGTGGTCTCATGACCATTATGGCCGGCATTCATCTACCGGCGGTTCCACCTGGGCCAGCAAGAACTTTTGTAAGTTTCTTCCAGAAGGCCCCCGATGTAGAAAAAAACAATAACTCCCTTATCAAGCAAGTGAAGTTCATAAATGTTACTCCTACTTTGGAGTATGAGAAAGATGAGTTCGAAAAATTGGTAGCCCCGCATCAATTGTGTTTGATTGGGAAGTTTTCATACGGCAGACCTAAAATGGAGGAGGTCCACAAGGATTTTAAAAAGATCGGATTCAAAGGACGCTATACCTTGGGTCTTATGAACCCTAGAAATGGTCTGATCTGCTTTGAGCAAGAAGAAGACTACCAAAGGTGCTAGATACGGACTTTTTGGAATATTGCTGATTTTTCAATGAGAACATTAAAATGGAAGCCACGTTTTCGGTTTGAGGAAGAACCACCTCTGGTGCCGATATGGGTCTCGCTATTCGATTTGCATGCATCCAGAAGTTATTTTCTCAATAGCAACGGCAATAGGTCAGCCTTTGAATGTAGACATGCCCACTTTGAATATGACTAGACCGTCGGTTGCACGGTTTTGCGTAGAGATTGATCTCACAAAAAAATCTCCCGAAATCGGTCAAGATTGGTAAGAATGGAAGAAAGCGTAAACAGTTCTTTACCTATAAGCATGTGCCCTCATATTGCCTTAAATGTTGTAAGATTAGGCATAAAGATGATGATTGTCGACTGGGGAAGCCTCTGAGGCAAAGAGAAGATGCTGGACAGGAAAGAGATTCGGCTGTGGAAAAGAAAGGATTCAAAATTCGGCCACCAAAATTGAAGTGGAAGAGTAAAGAAGGAGACGAGACATCCACTTTAGAGGTGCAAATTTTGCAGGAGCATCCTCTAATAGTTAAGGCCATAGAGGCGTAGCCCTCGCAAGTGCAAAACCTAGAATCGGCACACCTAGAGGCACAAACTCAAGCGGCACAAATGGAGGCGCGAGTCGTGGTTTCAACGTCAGTTTTGACTGCAAAAGAGAAAAATGATACTCTGGTTGATGTTCATAAAAACTCAAACTCAGTTTCCGATTGTTTTGATGTGGAGGCCGTGCCTGAAAAAGAAGCTGATAAAGATGCTGTCCATTGCCAAAGTTCGAACAAATTTTTGGCCTTGCAAGAAATTGATAACAACGAAGCTATTCTTTTGGATGAGAATGATGATGATGTAGAGAATGTCTTCACTGAGGGGCTCATAGAAAAACAACAGCATCGATTAATATGGAAATTGATGTTGATTTGATAAATAAGGCTATAATTGATGAAGTTCAAAAGGAGGAAAACAATAGCGGTAAGATTGATGGGGAGCTACAAATGGAAGATAATCTAAATCAGAGCAACCAACATAAAAAGTTAGTAGTTTTTGAATTGGTGTTAGCTAATTCCCCCCAGGCTTTGCATGAAGATGTGATTGAGGAGAATGCTAGTGAGTCTATGCGTAAAGAAGGTGATTCAGATGAGGGCTTAGTAGAAGTTGGAAAGGCATGCACTTTAAAACAAGTAGATGCGAAAAAGCAACTCCTGAGAGAAAACATGGAAAATTTTGAAAAACTCCTTGCTCAAGTTGCAAAGGATGATGAACCTGAATTTATCTCTGCTCGTAAGCAACGGAAGAAGCCTAGTGTCAATAGGAATCTGAGAGTACGTCGCTAAAAAACTAATTATTGTTAATCATAATCTTTTGAATCTATTATTTTTTCTGAATTTTTTTAGATGCATTGTAACCTGTGGTAAGTCTTACACACTACCACTTTTTTTTTCTTAATTTATAAAAATAAAATGGGTGCTGCACCTGTCATGCACTGCCTATTTTGATTAAAATATATATATATATATATATATACCGGCTAGATTTTAGTGGATGAATGTGCAAAAGATTATCGAGCAACCTACTTATTGCAAATGATTTTTTTTTCCAAAATCCGGTTATTGATCATGAGAAGATACATTCTCTCCTGGTGGTTTAAAAAGAAAAATCTTTCGCTATTTGCTAAATCTGATAGCAAATGAAGAAATGAAAATTGCATCTGTTGAATATAGTGATCACTTAATACGTGATATTTGACATTTAATAATGACGTCTAAATGAAATCCCTAAAGGATTCAATAGGGGACATGTTCCTTATTCTCGGGAAATTAATTCAAAGGACTCGTGCAAGTTATAGTGTCTTCATGTGTCTAAAAAAATATTTAGGTTCATATTTTTGAATATAATAGATATAATTGTTTATGCACTTGTTTATATATTTGGATATATCATGCTTGTGTATCATGTGATTGCCTGTGATTTTCTCTAAGCTTATATAATCATATTCACATGATAAACTATTTAGATGTTTTGTAATTTGGTTAGTAACAAACTCTTGTACAGTTTCAAAAGCCTGAATATCATCGAAATTTATCACGAAATTTGAATTAGCCTGAATATCATTAAAACTTTTAAGAGTTATATCATTGTTATTAACACTTCTAAGGAAGTTCAAAAGGTTGCAACTTGCTTGAATAATGAGAGATCTTGAGTAGAATCTCAGTTTAAATAGTTTGATCTTTGTATTATATATTCAACAGCTGTTGAGCGCACTTAACTAAAATCTTGATATGCATATATGTCCTTCTTCTTGACTTTCTATTAATGATGTAGAATGGTTGGGTCATGAAGTACCATATAAAGTTTTGGTTGATCTAATCAATCAGTTAAGATTTGAATATTGTATATTGATATCTTCAAGGTAATGGCTATGGGTCTTTGTTATCATAAAGCACTTAAGATTACACATGGTATATGAAAATGATCATCTACATGAGAAGCTGAGGTAACTATTTGAAAATTCTATCTCCGATCAATTTCTACAGTGGCAAAACTAGCCAAAATTTTAGCACGCGACGAGAATATCACAATTGACGTACTCAACATGGGGAGTATCCCCACACTGTACTCTTTTTCCCTTGATTGAGGTTTTGTCCTAATGGGTTTTTCTGACAGGGTTTTAACGTGGCAAGTGTACTCTTTTTCCTTCACTAGGGTTTTATCCCAAAGGGTTTTTCCTAATAAGATTTTAGCGAGACATTGTTCCACAAAGATGGACATTCAAAGGGGGAGTGTTATGAAAATATTTGATTTGATTAATTTGATTGAATGTCTTTAATCAATATGCGTTATTCTATTCACAATCAGAGATATATAATTTTGTAATATTTAGCATTAGTGATAGAGTGATTTGGTTCACATAGTCTGGTCCCCTCCTTGTATAAATAGGGAGCTCATTCATGTTTCAGAAATACACATGATACGAATCTTGAGGCAAAGGTGGAAGATTTACCTCGACGCGGAAGCTATGAATTTCCCAGGACTTGAAAACTTGCAAATCCAATATTATGGACTCCACAACTCACGAAAATTAAAAGAAAAGAAGAGATGAAAACCACAAAAATTTGCACCAAAATGTGATGGAAAGGTTTAGAAGATGTAGAAAGTGTTTAAGGTTAGCAACCCAATCGGTCACCTCTCTAACAACCCTATCCCTTCGATTTATGGATAGAACGGCTAGCGAAAAGGCTCCAATGAACAATTAACAAAGCTCCACAAGTAGAAAAATAACTATTCTACTCGAATGCATCAACAAAGCACAAGCTTGTGTGCAATGCACTAATCTTCGAAAAGAGTAGAAAAAGAACAAAGAGTTTACTCTCATCTCATATTGAAATAATTCATCAAAGGTACAAATGAATGCTGGCCAAGCACCCCTATTTATAGTAGAGGGGGCCGAAATTCTCCTATGAAGTAGGAGAAGACTTTGATCTCTAACTCTATTCCTACTTTAAAGAACTAGAAATCACTTAACCTCTAATTGACAACTTGTGTCTTATCTATTAAGGTAATGTATCTAGACACCTTTAAAGACTTAAGACACACTAGTCTAATGAAAATAAAACTCCAAATACAAAGAGATATTCTCTCAAAAGAATCTTATCCTTATCTTGAAAAGAATCTTCCTGAGTTATCAACTCTATCAATATCTTCTTTGTAGAGTAATCATAGCCATCCAATCTTGGTCTAATCTCCATCCAACGGTTGAGAGTAGACACCAAGGAATAGACTTCTTATTTTGAATAAACTCTAAATTAGATAAAAGAGAATCATATCTTATCCTTCCATGTGATAAGATTTAAATGATCTTATCTCTAAAAGATAGGGATCTTCCAAATCTTATCCTTCCACAAGTATGATAAGATTTAAATGATTTTATCCGTAAAAGATAGAGATTCCAACTCCTAAAAATTAGGAGATAGAGTCGGCCTCCCTTGCTTGGTTTGTGGGCCGAAATTTCCTTCCTCAAATGGGCCTCGTAACACATAAATAATCTTGGGCTTGTAACTTCCAGACTTGACATTCTCTTGGGCTAAACCATTTGATATAAGATTATTAAGTACACTCCTCATCCTTTTACTTGTAGCTTGAGTCATTGGGCCTCCAATGTTGGATAATGGATCTTGAGCCACTCCTTGAGCTTGGACAATATTTGGAACCCGAACACCTTGATCATCTTGGACTTGATTACCATAGATGTTCACATCATTCCCTCCTTCCTCGAAAGGATTCAACCTTGAATCCAATGCTTGTACAGCTCTAGCATCTGAGAAATCAAACGGAGATAAATCAGAAACATTAAAAGTCGCATTAACATTATACTCACCAGGAAGGTCAAGTTGATAAGCATTGTTGTTCAAACGCCTGACAACTTGGAAAGGACCAGCTCCACGAGGATCTAACTTCGATTTAACCTTTGTAGGAAATCAAATCTTTCTTAAATGAACCCAAACCCAATCACCAGGTTCGAATATCAGTTCCTTATGCCCCTTGTTGGCAATCCGCACAACATGCTCATTTCTCTTCAAAATATTCATGTGTACTTTCTCATGAAGAGAACGTACATACTCAGCTTTCTTGGCTCCATCTGTATTAAGATACTCAGAAACAGGTAATGGAGACAACTCTAAAGGGGTTAAGGGATTAAATCCATAAACAATTTCAAACGGAGAATGTTGGGTAGTAGAATGCACAACACGATTATATGCGAATTCAGCAATGGGCAAACATGTTTCCCAATTCTTACGATTCTTTTGGATCAAAACACGAAGCAAAGAACCAAGAGTTCGATTAACCACCTCCATCTGGCCATCTGTTTGAGGATGAGCATTTGTTGAAATCAACAGTTTTGTACCTAGTTTTCCCCACAAAGTTTTTCAAAAGTAGCTCAAAAATCTAACATCTCTGTCAGACACAATAGTTCTAGGTAAACCATGCAATCTAACAATTTCACGCATAAATAAATCAGCTACATGCTTGGCATCATCAGATTTATGACAAGGAATAAAATGTGTCATCTTAGAAAACCTATCAACTACCACAAAAACCGAATCACACCCTTTTTGAGATTTAGGTAATCCCAAAACAAAGTCTATTGAAATATCAGTCCAAGGGTGGGTAGGTACAGGTAGAGCCGTATATAACCCATGTGGTTGTGACTTAGACTTTGCTTGTTTGCACTCAATACAAGTAGAACAAACTTTTTCTATGTCACGTTACATATTAGGCCAATAAAAATGCTCACATAAAATATCATAACTTTTCAAGATACCAAAATGACCCATAAGACCACCACTATGAGATTCACGCACTAATAGTTCACGTAGAGAACAAGCAGACACACATAATTTATTATCTTTAAAAAGAAACCCTCATGCCTATAAAACTTGTTAAATGCGCCACTTTCACATGCTTCAAAAATGGATGAAAAATCAGAATCAGTAGCATACAAATCCTTGATGTATTCAATCCCTAATAACTTAGAATCAAGCACGGAAAGGACATACGATCTTTGAGACAATGCATCACCTACAACATTCTCTTTTCCCTTCTTGTACTTAATGACACAAGGAAAAGATTCAAGAAATGCACTCCATTTAGCATGTCTCTTATTCAGTTTGTTTTGTCCATGCAAATATTTCAAAGACTCATGATCACTATGGATAACAAACTCTTTTGGCATTAAATAGTGTTGCCAATTTTCTAAAGCCTTAATTACAGCATACAGTTCTTTATCATAAGTAGGATAATTCAATGTTGCACCACTTAATTTTTCTGAAAAGTATGCAATAGGCTTACCACTTTGCATTAACACACCACCAATTCCAGCCCCAGTTGCATCACACTCAATTTCAAAAGTAAGATCAAAATTAGGTAATGCAAGAACATGAGCACAAGTTACATCATTCTTTAAAGTGTTAAATGCAAGTTCTTATTCTTTACCCCATTCAAACCTAACATTCTTCTTTACTAAGTGATTTAAGGGTGCAGCCTTAGTAGAGAAATCCTTCACAAACCTACGATAAAAACTAGCTAAACCATGGAAGGAACGAATGTCAGAGACAGACTTAGGTGTAGGCCATTCTCGAATTGCCTTAACCTTAGCCTTATCAACTTTAACACCATCCTTGCTAACAACAAAACCAAGAAAAATAACTTCTGGTACACATAAAGTACACTTAGCAAGTTTAGCATAATTTTATTTTCACGTAAAGCAGAGAGCACACTCGAAAGATGTTTAGCATGCGAAACTTCATCTCTACTATAACCTAAAATATCATCAAAA